CTAAAAATCCTGCCCCTGGGCTTTCTCTCTGCCAGGGTGTAGAGTGTGGGGGCAGGGTGGGGCACAGGCTGGGAGTAGAGCTATTTGGAGTCTTGTTTTTCTTGGAGGTGCCCTGGCGGCAGAGACTCTCCTCTCCCTCCCTCCAGGTTTGGAACCAAATCTAGTCTCCCGCCTTTATTTCCAAAACAGTTCCTGGCTCCGATGCTGGGACTCCAGGGCTGCAGGAACCTCCAGCTCCAGCTCTGAGAAAACTCCCCCTGTTCCAGAACCCCCTCCTCCACCCAGGCACTGGGGCCTGTCCAGCTGCTGTCACTGAGAGGCGTTTCCTTTTTGTCCAAAGAGGTCAGTGCAAAGCAGACCTGCACTGGAGAGAGCTAACCCACCTCCCTGTCGTGGGGCCTGTGTGGCTGGGCGTGGAGGTCAGGAGAGAGAGGAGACCCTGAACTGTGACAGATGGTTCCCCTCTCTCCTTCCCGGCTCTCTCATCTAGCTGTCTCTTTCCTGCCCATTCAGCTGTTTGCAGGATTCTCATCCGCCTTGAAGATCTCTCCCACCTGCTTCCTTCCTCACTCCAGCCACCGGGCCAGGCCAGCTCCTACTGCAGAATGTCTTGTCCCCTTCCTCTACCAGGGGAAGGCCAAAGGTGATCAGTCCCCTCCCCAGAGAGCAGGCTGCAGGCGTGCTGCCTCGTATCCTCCCACCAAGCAGCCAGCCGGCTGGCTTCCTCAGACTCAGGTCCTGTCCCCCTCTTCACTCACAATGACATGGGTCACATTTTCTTTTTAATATTTTTTTAGTTGTCAATGTACCTTTATTTTATTTGCATATGGGGCTGAGACTCGAACCCACTGTCTCACACATGCTAGGCAAGCGCTCCACCACTGAGCTACAACCCCAACCCGACATGAGTCACATTTTAAAACTCTTCATCAACAAGTGTGTCAAGAGACATGGAATGGGCTCTCAAATTGTTCCTTTGTGGGGCTGGGGATGTGGCTCAAGCGGTAGCGCGCTCGCCTGGCATGCGTGCGGCCCGGGTTCGATCCTCAGCACCACATGCAAACAAAGATGTTGTGTCCGCCGATAACTAAAAATAAATATTAAAAATTCTCTCTCCCTCTCTCTCTCTCTCTCCCTCTCTCTCTCTCTCTCTTTAAAAAAAAATGTTCCTTTGTGAATTCTGCCCTGAGACACATACCTCAATTTGGCATGAAGCATCTTACGTGCGTGGTGCCCAGATGGGTCATTCGATTTCAACGCCCTCCCACATTCACCCACTAAGTCCTTCTTTTACCACCTCTCCAGAGAACTAGACACCCAACACTAATGTGTCCCTCTGTCTCATTCTTTACACAGTGCCAAAGGCCTTCCTTGCCCCCCCCCCACCCGTAGGGGCCCTGTCCCTGGCTCCATGCCCCTGTCCAAGGTAGCYGGGGTCCCCATGCTCCTGTCTGGGGTGGCCTACCCAAAATTCTTTAAGAATGGGTACACACTGTGTGTGATGTGACCTTTCCATCTAAGATCCACTTCTGTACCTTCTGCTCAGCATCAGGTCACAACACAAAAGGAGGCTCTGTGGCAGGCTGGGCAGCTCCTGGTGGGCGGCCACCTCCACAGGGGTGAGCATCCCCTCCCTGCAGGATTCCCACAAACACCAAGGTCTTCCCTCACAAGTCACCTTCACAGGGAGGCTCTCCCTGACCCCCAGAGTCCCTTCCCTGCTTCCATGGGCTTAACTTATAAATACTTCATTGATATAGGACTGTGCAGTGTTTTTCCTTCTGTGACCGGCTTACTTCACTTAGCAAATGTCCTCTAGGCTCATCTATATTATTGAAAATGGCAAGATTTTCAGGCTGAATAATATTCCACTCTATATATTTACCAGATTTTCCTCATTCACCATCTGTTAGTGGATAAGGGACACTTGCATTGTTTCCCCATCTTGGCTATCGTGAATACACTGCAGTGAACAGAGAATGCGGGTGTCTCTCCAAGACCCTGATTTTGGTTCTTTTGGATATGCACCCAGAATCAGGAATGCTGGCTCATATGATAGTTCTATTTTTACATTTCTGAGGAACCTCAATAGTGTTTTCTATAACGTGCCATCTGACATTCCCAACTTTCTTCCTTTTTCTTAATATGATGGTGAAGTCCCACATTTCTGCTGTGTGAAGTTCCTAATTCTCAGATTTTTCTGGTTTTACTTCTCCTCCCTTTTAAATGAAACATATCAGTATTAAATTAAATTTGGCCTAAAGCTGACTCCATACTTTGAATCCCTAGGTAGCAAACTGTCACCTAACTTAATATGTAAGCACTGCAACACAAAAGTGTCAAATAACTGAGTCTCAGCCAATCACATGCTGCCAACTGGTCAGACTATAGCCATATGAGGCCAATGGCTCATCTCCCCATGCCCAAACTGGGCAAGCTCCAAGCTGTTTCTGCTCCTCACTTCCTTTGTTCTGTCTATAAATATTGCCTGCCCACATTACTGAGTGATTCATAAATAGGGCAGCACTCAGAACCAAGAACTTTGCTGGGTGAATTGTTATTTGCTCTAATAAAGAACAAAACAAAACACAAACTCCCCATTCAAGGTTTCAATCCCTTCCCTCCCTCCCCCCACCCCGCCCCTTTACATACTAAATATTCTACTTATTTTTATTTACTGTCTTTCTTCCCACTAAAATGTAAACTCCAGGGGGGACTCTTGACTTCAGGCTTCATGGCTGTATTCTCAAAAAATAGTGTCTCACACTTGATGGGCACTAAATAAAGACCTTTTGAATAAATGATTGGGAATGGAGGAAGGAATGGGTCTGTACTGCTACAAAGGACCACACTAGTTGATAGATAGGGACATTAGAAAAGGGGTATCGAGACTTTTAAGACACACTCTGTCAACTTGAGACATCCCCCCCTACCCCCTTCCCTTATTCAGGATTGAAGAAGTTGGAAAGAAGATGCCTTCGTTGCCATATGTGATTATATTGAAAGCAGTACCTGGCACTGGCTAAGTCCTCTACCTGGTCAGTRGTTCCTCTATGGCGCTTACTTAGAGAAACCCTCTGAGGTCCAGAAAGGAAGGGGCTTCCCCAAAGTCACACCACTGGTGAGCATCAGGACTGGAAGTGACRTGGACCTCCAAGTGCAGGGCAGGGCATGGGAGAGGTCTCCCCAGCTCTCCCTGGGAACTATGAGTGGGTGGTAAGGACAGTTGGTCATTATGATTGACAGCCTCACTGGGACCCCATAAAGTCAGGCAGAGTGGCTCCCCCAGGAAGGGAYGCCAGGCAGACAGTGATCACATTGGATACCCTCTACAGGCCCTTTCAGCACCCAGCCTGGCATTCTGTCTCTTCATCTATTTCCAGGGTTAAAGGTGCTGGAGGAGGGCAGGAGGAAAGGTGAGGTCAGCCTGTTTAGTTCCCAATACCAAGGCCAAATCAGGGTCAGAAGCAAAGGGASGTTGAGCAATGTCCCTGCTCTACGACCAGCCCCATGGTGGCATGAGCCCCCTAAGGACTCTGATTAAGTAGCCAAAGGCTGTGTGGGAACTGTGAAGCCAGCAATGCTTCATACCCAGGAAGAGAAGARAGACTGGAGACTGAATGGCTCAGCATCAAGACCATCCAGTCTAGTGGTTCTCACAGTAGTATCCAGGGACCCCTATCAGCAGCATCACTTAGAAACTTGCTAGGAATGAAAATTATCCATCCCTACTCCAGAACTATTGATTCTGAAACTCKGGGGGTGGGACCCAACCACCTGTGTTTGAAAAGRCCCCTCCAGGTGAATCTGATGCACACGGAAGTTTGGGAACCATTGCTTTTTCTAGTCTAGTGCCCTTACTGTTCAGGTGGGTAAACTGAGGCTCAGATATAGAAAAGGGTGAGCCTAAGGTCACAAAATAAGTTACCTTTGGAGTAACAGCTCATCCCCATGGCAGGATACCCCAAATGCTTGCTCTCTCGACTGTTTCCTTCTAGGAAGATAGGCTGCGGATTGCAAAGCAACAGGACAATTTGTTGAAAGGTCTCAGCCAAGTCTTTTATTTCTGCTCTGGGCCTCAGTTTCTGCATCGGCCCACTGAGCATGAGGAGTAGAGAATCTGTGAATGCATAACATCTTGATTTCCAGTGGGCTGTGCCATTGCTGCCCTAGCCTTAAGGACACACTCTAGCATGGACCAGAAAGGCACAASTTCTGGATCTGGATGGACTAGGTCAAACTCCAGCCCTGCCACCTGCTAACTGCATGACCTACAGCTATCTGTCCACTCTGAGTCTCCATTTCTCCACCTGTGTATGTTCCACAAGGAGGCTGTACTGTGAAGAAAGAGTCTCTTGGCATATGTCTGGGGTGCAGGAGGCACTTGGGAAAGGAGCTGTCACCGTGGCCTGCCAGTCTGGCTCTGGTGGTGGTTCACCTTCCCCAGTCATCGGGTCTTTGCTTCTCCACACCTGCAACATCCCCATGGAAGCAGCCTAGTTGCAAGTCATCACCTACAATTCAAATTATTTCCGCCCTTGTAATTGTCAATTCAGGTCACATACTTGAATAAAACCATAGATCATTCCCCTCTTCCACAGCTCCTCACAGCCATCAGTCCTGGGCAATAAATTCTTTCTGCATTTCAACCAGCTGGGTGGGTGAGTGTCAGTATGAACATCTTGCCCCCAGGACCCCTCCAAAGCATCTTCTGGTACATGACAGCCCATCCAAATGTGTCCTCAAGACATAGCGACAAACCCATGCTAATATGATTATGTCAGAATGAACCTGATTTTATTTATAACTATAAGGCATTAATTTAAAAAAAAGATATGATGACATTGTCCAGCTATATGTATGTGATTCAGGATGGAGCAAGGGACAGAAATGCATCTGAGTATGCCCTGCTGCCTCCTCCTCCTCTGATGGCTTTCTGACTGATCAGTAGGTCAGCTCCGCGGCCACACTCACCTGCATGGCTCTCTTGCCTCCCACAGGTGACCACCATGATCCCCTGGGTGCTCTTGGCCTGTGCCCTCCCCTGTGCAGCCGACCCACTACTTGCTGCCTTCGCACGCAGGGACTTCCAGAAGGGCTCCCCTCAACTCGTCTGCAGCCTGCCTGGCCCCCAGGGCCCACCTGGCCCCCCAGGAGCCCCAGGGCCTTCAGGAATGGTGGGAAGAATGGGTTTTCCTGGCAAAGACGGTCAGGATGGCCAGGACGGGGACCGGGGGGACAGCGGAGAAGAAGGTAAGAAGCCCAATACCTACCCCTACTGTCCCACCCAGGGTTGACAACATTGACACAGAGGGAGCTAATGTAGCGGTTTGTGATGTGAATCGCTTTCTCTGTAAACCAAATCACTGTCTCTTTATAAACAGAGCAGTGTGTCCTGAAAGGAACAGAGGATAGCAAATCCTGTGTTCTTGCCTCAGCAGCTGYACTTTAAATTACTAAGWGAGTTTGAGCAAGTTCCCTGAAATWTTATGCAAAACTCTATTGGTTGCGAGAAACAGAAACCCAAAGTATAGCCCCCATGGATTGTACTGTACAGGAAGACCAAGAGTGGAGTTTCAGCAACAGCTAGGTCCAGGAGCTTCAACACTCTTGTCAGGGCACGGCTTCTCTCTGTGGGTTGGTTTCATTGTCCCACAGGCTAAAGTTCTGGAATGGCAACTGGTGGGCTCAAGTCTACATGTTCATGGCTTTATCCATACAGCACCTCAGAGTGACTGATCCTCCCTGGCCACTGTGTGTCCTGGATCAATCCCTTTGATCATAGAGGTGAGGTACCACCATTTGTCAGGCCATGTGCCTGCCCTGGGTGTTTGTGAATGGGTGGTGAGGGCCACTGGTCACTGTGATTGACAGCCTCGCTAAGACCCCATAAGATAGTGAAGGGTGGATTCCTAAAGGCAGGGCTGCCAGGCAGAGGACAGATTGGATGCTTTCTACAGACCTTTCCAGCTCTGGCTTTCCTTACAGCTCTGAACCTTCACCCCAGCACTTTTTAGTGTCAGAATCYCCAAGTGTAAGCAGTAGGGAAATTATAATAACTTATGGGGGGGTTGCTGGGAATTAAACCCAGGGACTTGCATGTGCTAACCAYGTGCTCTACCATCAAGCTACACACTCAACCCTATATAACTTTTGTTGGCATGGCACTTAAACATGGACAAAGGAGTTTTTAATCGATTTGTCCTCTGACYGTCAAAGCCATCCTATAAAGGAGATATTCTTATTATCCCATGTTACACATTAGGAAACTRAGAACCAAAGTGATGAAGAACACTATGTCATCGCTGCAGGAACTTGAACTTTTTGGAAACAAATCTAGATACAGGTTTTGGGAAACACTTTATCCTCTATCCAAACCTCGGTTTCCTCATCTCTAAAATAGGGATAACAGCAGCACCTTCCTCACCAGGTTGGGGTGAAGATGAAGTAGAATAACACACAAATCCCTAGTCTCCAAGTAGGAGACTAGGTCAATGTTAGTCACCCCTTAATTAACTTGCTGAGCTCCCATAAGCTGGGAGCAGCCTTCAGATCCAGGCCTTTCCTACCACACCAAACCGATTCCTCCAAAAGTACTTCCTTCCCAGGAGAAAAACTCTGGAAGTACTAACAGTGGCTTGGACTTGRGGAGTGACCCCCTCAGGTCTGGACAGGTACTCCAAGCAGGGCCAATTAAAGCTTTCCCAGAGATTTGCCTAYGGATCCTGCAGGAGAGAGTGTCTGATGTGGACACTTTCCCCTTGATCAGAGGGGCTATCTTTTCTCCCATGCTTTGGGTCTCCACAGTGGAAGACAGGTGTAGAGAGTCCCAACACGTAATCCAGATAAAACTGGGTCACCTTGGGCCAATTCAGGATAATATCCAATCACCCTCCCACCACACACACAAATCTGTTTCCAGAAAGTTCTTCCAAAGTAAAGTTAACGTTTCCTGGAGTCTCACAAAAAGGTAGTCAAGAAGGAAGCGCATCTCAGAGCCCATGGTGGAACTCGCGGGTAAGCTTCCCTATTTAGGTGCCTCCTGGGGAAAAGCTCCAAGCCAAAACTAACCTCTGCTCCCCCTGTTTTCTCAGCCCCTTCTSCCACCTTCTCTTTGTTTTCGTTCTTTCAGGGAGGAGTTTTGTGACCTTCATCAGGTTTTTTTTCCCCCATTCTTCCTCCTCACCCTCTTTCTCTTCCTCCTCTTCCTCATTTCTCCCAGAGGCAGTAGCTCCACCAAGGAGCCACACCTCCACCCCCATTCTTTTTCGTTTTCTTTTTTCTTCTTTTACAAATAAAAATACACACACCTTCCCGTTGTCATATAGTCAAGCAACACAGAGGGTGCAGGTCCTCCTTCATCTGGACCCTTCTCATCTTGCCCACATCCTCTGCGGGGAATCCCTGTTGGTTGGCTACCCGTGTATCCTTCCAGCATTTTTCTAGGTATTTACCTATGTGTAWAATAATGCCAGGTATTGCTAAGCAGTTAACATAAGGAATATGTTCCAGAAAATTCAATTTTCAGTGAGAAAATGCCATCTGGAAATCTATTTCCCAAATATTTAAAATATGAAAATTTAAACACATTTCTTGATAATTCTCTAAAAGGTGAAATGCCTATGTACGTATATGTAAATACCCTGTCAGGAGGTAAAGTGCCTAACAATATTTTCCTTCGTCACCCAAACCCTGTGGCTGTAATAAAGAATAGTGCTGTGTCCAGTGATGTCAGGATGGTTGTGGGCACCAACAGTCTTCAAAAGCAGGACCCTTAGTTAACATTCGACCTGCACTTCAAAGCACCTAGCTTCAATTCTGTTATTTTGCCAAATGTACAATTGTATCCATATATAAATCTTTTTCTATATTTATTATGTTTAAAATGTTGTGTTACATTGGGAATCCTAAATATAATTGTTGTTTTCTATGTCATCATTGGTCTGAAATGTTGCACTGAGAGAAATGTACATTTTATGAAATACAAGTATTTTTTAAATATTTATTTATTTGTAGGTTAACACATAGTATCTTTATTTATTTTATGTGGATCAAACCCAGTGCCTCACACATGCTAGACAAGCACTTTACCACTGAGCCCCAGCTCCATGAAATATGAGTATTAAGAACTGAGAAGTACTCTACAGGAGACATTGTTGGAGACATGTCCTGCAGGGTAATGCCAACCAGTACTTAGTGTGTTTACCAGCCACTGTCTTAGGCACCTTGATGGGACAGAAGTGTTTAGCTTTGTGGTTTATCTTGAAGGGAAAGGGTTCCACCATCTGCTCTTTCCTCTTAGTGTAGCTTATAGTACATGTAAATCTGCCTCCCTTTATTTTAACACGTAGAATTAGAATTCTACAGATGGACCATAATTTTCTAATCATTTCCCTTTGGAAAGGCATTTGATTGGTTGGTTTTGGTTTTGTTTTGCTATGATAAGCAATGCTGCAATAAAACTTGGTGTATGGGGCAGATATATGGGGCTCTTGTTCCTGAGCCAGGGATTACCACAGCAGCCCACGGAAGGACTGATCTGGCAAACAAACCCGGTTGTCCTTCAGAGAGCAGGAAGAGCAGAGGGTGTAAATTATCATGTGTTCTTTTTTGTCCACAATGATTCTGAAAGTTATCACCATTCCCATTTTCCAGATAAAACCAGGAAGGAAAGTGCCCCCACCATAGGCCATGAGACATGCCCCATTTCTATGTGATCCCGCCTTGTTCTTTCCACTCCTCCAGGGCTCCTGCTACAAGAAGGGAAGGGAGCAAGATCCGCAGCCTGTGCCTAGGCCTATGAGGACCCCCTCCTCATAACACCAGCTGTTCTGTCTTCCAGGTCCACCTGGCCGGACAGGTAACCGGGGCAAGCAAGGGCCAAAGGGCAAAGCCGGGGCCATTGGACGGGCTGGCCCTCGTGGCCCCAAGGGGGTCAGCGGTACCCCTGGAAAGCACGGCACTCCAGGCAAGAAGGGGCCCAAGGGCAAGAAGGGCGAGCCGGGCCTCCCAGGCCCCTGCAGCTGCGGCAGTGGCCGTGCCAAGTCGGCCTTCTCAGTGGCAGTGACCAAGAGCTACCCGCGGGAGCGACTGCCCATCAAATTTGACAAGATTCTGATGAATGAGGGTGGCCACTACAACGCATCCAGCGGCAAGTTTGTCTGCGGTGTGCCGGGGATCTACTACTTCACCTACGACATCACGCTGGCCAACAAGCACCTGGCCATCGGCCTGGTGCACAACGGCCAGTACCGCATCCGGACCTTCGACGCCAACACCGGCAACCACGATGTGGCCTCGGGCTCCACCATCCTGGCTCTCAAGCAGGGTGACGAGGTCTGGCTGCAGATTTTCTACTCGGAGCAGAACGGGCTGTTCTATGACCCCTACTGGACCGACAGCCTCTTCACGGGCTTTCTCATCTATGCCGATAGGGAAGACCCCAACGAGGTGTAGACAGGGACCTCCGGGCAGGGACCGAGCTTCTGGATTTCTGCCTACAGAGCAAGACCCCTCAACTGTAGGCTGGGTGCTGGGAATCTCAGGAGCTTCTAGCCTCAGGCTGACCTCCTCTGCTTTTTTTTTTTTTAATCATTAAATCTAAGCTTTTTTATTCATTTGTCTAATCACTAATTGTTTCAGTGTCTGTCCTACCACGGGCTCTGTGCTGCACTCTGGAAGTTACAGCAGAGGACAAGACAGAGGTTCCTGTCCTCATGGGGCTTATGTGCTAGAAGGAGATACAATTTACAAATAGACAATCTAATGATATAATTATTATACCAGGATGGAAATGGGCATCTCCCAAAAGTGGTAGGAATAATAGGAGACCCAGAGTAGGCTGAAATTTTTTTTTATAGTTCATCTTTTTCAATTTATTTATAGACAAGTCAACAAATTTTAAGTGGACAGCTCAATGAGTTTTTACTGAAGTGTACACCTTAAAACCACTATATAGATTAAGAACAAACTAGCAAACTATTTCCAGCTTCCATCCCCCTCTCCTGAAGGCTAAGAACTCTCCCAGTCAGTACAGGATAGTCCTAGTCTTGCAATTAGAGTTATAAACAAACAAACAAACAAACAAATCACAGGGGATGTCACTCAGAGGTAGAACACTTGCCTAGCATGTGTAAGGCCCTGGGTTCATAGGTTGTAAATATTCTAAGATGAAAGTGCACTTAACACACCCACCCCGTGCAGCATGAGAGCTTAGCAACACAGCACAAAAAGCATCAGCTGTTCACCTCCTGAGCAGCATCACAGGAGAGTGTATACCTTATATCCACAGTGAGGGAGAAGATCAAAATTTGAAGTATGTTTTCTATTGAATGCAAATTGCTTTTCACCATCTTAAAGTTAAAAAATTGCAAGTCAAACCATCATTAAATCAGGGACCATCTGTATCAGCACGATTCATTTAAAAAAATTTTTTTAAGTTGTAGAGGGACATAATAACTTTCTTTTTATGTGGTGCTGAGGATCGAACCCAGGACCTCACACAGGCCAGTCAAGCATCCTACCACTGAGCTAGGACCCCAGCCCCTCCACAAGATTCATTTTTAAGCTGAGTCCTGAAGCAAGACACAGAGCAATGCAAAGGACGGGGGGAGGGGCCCCCTGGCAAAATGAGATGCACATACAAGAGCCTTGACGCAGGGAAGAGCTTGGCGCATTGAAGGAAGTGACTGAAGGCCAGAGGATGGGGAGGTGACAAAGAGGAAGGAAAGTGGGAGTCTGGAAGCTCATACAGAAGAACTCAAGGCCACTGCATCTCATGCCACAGAGCTTAGCAGGATGGGAGAGCGTGATGTCAACACAGGGATAACCTTGAATCTGTTCAAAGCACCAGTCAAGTCACAGATTCTAGCACCTCATTAACAGTTACAAATCACACATCAGCCTGCTTCACAGTCGGTGAGATAGACCAGGCTCTTGGCACCCACCTGAGAGCCATGCTCCAGGATGGCAGGAATAAAATAAATCTCACCTCTGGCCCAGGTGTCTCCAGTGTGCGGGCATCTGGGGGCCTAAGAAGCCACAGTGCAAATGGCTAGTGCTGAGCAGGCCCCACAGATCCACAGCCCCCCAGCAGCTTGCTCTGACCTACCCCTTCTGGGACCCTCAGAGACAGAAAATGCTGCATGGGGTGGTCCCAGAAAGAGTGGCCTCTGACATAATTAAAGCAGTTTTATTTAACATAACTCCATTTTCACTGGGCCACAAATGATATAGATTGGGATGGGTCTGAGAAACCCAAGCAAGAGTTTAAGACCCAAACAGAGCAGTGTATAGGTGGGGTCCTGTCCAGCACCCTGTAGGAAGGGCCAGCATGATTGAGTGACACCTTTGTTCGTAAATAGTCATTTTTCTTTTCCTTTATTTTTAATTTTTTTTCTGAGTACCTATGGCCACTCCTCTTCTGTCCTCAGGGATATAGGCATTTATGGGCAGTTAACTTAACCCCTTGTCAGCTGAGCAAGGTGGGCAGGACCCAGAGCTCTGTGGTTGTGTCTTCTGGGCCTGCCCTAAATCCTTGTCTCCTTGGCATCCTACTGAGGAGTGGTAGGGATCATGGGGGCTTACCCAGCACTCTGGGGAGAAGACAGAGGAGCAGAGACCTTACAGGTCCCGGGGCTGGGGTCTTGTTTTCTTGGATGTGGTCCGGGGCTGCTGGAGATGCTAGGCCCCTGACAGAAGGGGCAGAAGCAGGTGATGCAGATGAGGGGGTTCCTAGTAGCCACTGAGAGCAAAGTTGAGTTCTGGATTATCCCTTGATACCTCTGAGGTGGTTGCTACCTTGGAAAGCCACTTGGAACCCTCAGGCAGATGATTCCTGATGGAGGCCCAAGTGAGGAAGGTGTTCCCAAGAGGTGGCCTTCCCAGATGCCCTGGGGATCCAGCCCCTCCTCCCAAATACCTCTGGCTATTTATTCTGGGCCTCAGCAGCCAGGGCCTATCTTTTGGCCTTCACAACTGTAGGCATGGAAGAGCCAAACTTGGTGCATCTTTGTGCAATAAAATCACTCTTGAGCCAAAGGTATTTTCTCATTCAGGGCACACGTTGCAAAGCAAGCCATCTCCCTCTGGAGAAAGCTTGGAGACCGTGCAGATCTGATCACTATAGTGCAAAGAGCACCAGACCCACAGTGCCTGACAGGCCTCCTGCRTCACCCGATGAGGAGGGTATGCACTTCCTCTGTCTAGAGCTTCCTGAGCTGATTTCCCCATCAGGACTATGCCTGGGGAGGGGGTTTGGACAGGAGAATGAAACACTCTCCTCATGCAGAAAATTTAAGACGATGCCACAAGACTCAGTAACCAATATTAATAATACTTTAATATGATATAGTAATAAATCAAAATTAATTCAAAAAAGCCATGATGAACAAAATATCAAAATTTTTAGGTGAGGGAGACCTAGTCCTACAAGGGTAGACTGGATCCCCGGATCATCCATCAACAGTGCCTTGAAGGCAGAACCTGTGGTTCTCTCTCCTGCTTGTCATTTACACTTGTGCCACTAGGGGGAGAAGGTCTACTACAAAAACTACCACCCAGGCAGAGGCTGGAAGATCAGCTCCTGTGCCTTCTGCACAGACAGAAAGGGATGGAGTTTTAAGGCAGGGTCTTAGGCAGCCATGACCTTAAGAAAAAGAAAAGAAATAAGAAAACAAGAGGCACCCTTCTTCTCTAATTTTTTCATTTAAAGAGGTTTTTAGCCCTGTAAGTTGCAGGCAGCCTGGAACAGCATAGCAATATAGCATTGTCCAGGGCAAAAGGAGCCTGGGTTCCTATCCTGCTGTGTGTCTTCACTTATCATGTATGGCTTTGGCCATGTTATCAACCCTGGTGACCCCAGTTTACCCATCGATAAAATGAAGGGCTGGACCAAATGATCTCAGAACCCATTTTGACAATAAATCTTTATGTTTCTGACTCTAAAGAAAGAGCTAAGATTCCTAAAACATACGTTAAAACTGCTGGGTGAATTCTGTCAGCATGTTCTGAAAGGTTGAACTCTCATGTTCAGCCCCCTCTTCTCCTAAACACTTTTAACAAAGTGCTGTTGTCAGGTTTCTTAAGCTAGAATATAAAGAATAGCTAACATTTATTGCATATTAGCCAGATGCTGTACTTTGCTACAGGGACTCTTCATTGCTCCAGACCCCTGTGAGCAGGTGCCAGGATCACCATCTTCAGTTTGCAGATGGAGAGATTCAGGTGGATGCCAAAGGTTATGTGGCTGGTAGGTGGCACAGTCAGGACAGCAGCAGGCACATCTGGGTCCAGTAGTACGCTGCCAGCAGGTGGCCACCAGCAGGTCCTCCTGTGAGCTATGAGCCCACCCTAGAGGGCAGCCAGAGACATGGGAATTGCCCTGACTTTAAAGCACTCCTAGTGGAAAGAAGAGGGAACCGAAATATTTCCCTCCCCAAAGCAGGATCCATGGAACGTTTCATTTCAACTCATCATATGTCCCTCGGCACTTGCTGTGGGAAGCCGGGTCAGATGAGGCACCACAACCACCCGAGGCATCCAGAGCAGAATCGGCCTCCTCTGGAGTCTCAGTTTCCTCAGTCTGGATTTTAATGAGTGCCCCTGTTGGAACCGCAGTTTGGCCAGCGTTGGTCTGGCTGCAGGGGAAATTCAAACAAGACCCACTTGGATTCGGCTCTACAGGGAAGTGGGACGCATGTACCCTTTTGTTCCTCTCCCCCTTCCCTGGTGTTGCATCTCCAGCTGTCCTGGGACCCACATGTATACAGAATGAAGCTCTCTGCAGATGAATCTGAAGGTCACAGGCCCAATTCCCTGCTCACATTGTCCAAGGGCAGGAGATGGAAACTCACTTATTTTCAAGGGCTATGAAATCCTAGCCACTTCCTCTCACTGCTCCTGAGGCCTAGGCCTAAAATGGACAGAAAAGATCCAAAGATGGTTCTGGGCACACAGATTTTCTTTTTCACCCCCCCATCCCCGCCTAGACATTCTTCATCTACTTAATAATTTTGTCTCAGATTGGCCCTGATTTAAAAATAAAAAGGGAGAGTCCAACTCCCTCACTGGCATTTCTTCTTGCTGATGACCTTGTAAAGTGTGGCGCCTACTCTGTCCCCAACCCACGTGGGTTTTTCCAGCTGAGGCAGACAGTAATCCTGGTGTGAAATGCCCATATTCCACTTGGCAGGCTCTTATCCCATGGAACACATTCAATGTATGAGCATAATTACACGGAGACTGAGGGCTCAGGGCGGAACTGCTGACTTGCACGCTAATCCAAGCCGCTTCGCAGCTGCCCCATTCCGTGGCGGAGCAGGATGGGCAAACTGTTTTTGACAAGCTCCCACTGCCCAATGCTGAGTTCTGTTCCATTGTCATTCAGCCTGAACCTGTGCAAAGAAAGGTGTGTAGGGTCTTGAAGAGCCACCTGCCATAAGGAACAGAGAGAAGAATGGGAGTCCGGAGGGTGCCTGTCCACCTCTGCTGGGTGGTCCTGGGAGGAGGGCACTCATTGCTTCGAGGAGCTCTGGAGGGCAGAACAGAAAGAGCTGAAAGATTTTACCAACTTTGTTTATTCAAGTCATACCTTAAATCCCAGCTATCTGGGAGGCT